TATTGATATATTCTTAAAGAATACATTATTCTGGTTTGTTCTTTCTTAACATATACAAGTTCAAATGTTTGGATTTTTTCTAAGAAATTAAAAAAAAACCCGCAATATTTGGATATAACTCTAGGCGAAAATAAAATTGAAACATTTCCTATTTTGAAAGAATAAATGTATGCATTTGTTATAACATTTGACTTCAGTAACAATGAACTAGCAATAACAATATCTTCTGTTTGAATTTTCATGCGTTTTATATGACGGTTTAAGCTTATGTCCCTGATATTAAGGAGATGACAAGATAAATACATGTAATATATATGTGATATTTAAAAAATGATTTAAAAAAAAGGAAGAAAGAAAAGGAATTTAAGGTCAAACTACATGTAAAATGGTCCAGAACAAAATTATTAGAAAATTTATTACAATGAAAAAGAAGGTGATTTAAATCGACAAATTTTTGAACTATGAAGTAAATATCAGTTTATTTCAATCGGCAAACTTTTGAAAGTTTAAATCGATATCACTCCTTGCAAATTATTATAATTTTAAGGACAATGTAAATTTATTATTTTACGAACAATGTAAATTTGTTATTTTAAGAACAATGTAAATTTGTTTTTTAAGGACAATAAGGGCAATTTAGATTCATTACTTTAAGGACGTAAATTCATTTAAATACTCGTTTGATAGTTATAAGACTTGTTTTGATAACCAGAAACTTATATTGGAAAATACATCACTAAACGAGTGAATAGATTATAGTTTAAATAAGATCAACACCGAAACCTTGACACGTGTGTTTCTGGTTTATGTAATAGTTTAACGATATAAGAAAAATAAAAAATTTAAACAGTTGAAAACTCGATTATAGCTGTTTAAGACGTTTAATTATTTTTTCCTTAAATAGACATAACGTTTAAATAAATCTAAAAAAAGTCTATTGAAGACAGTTTATGCGAAATAGACTGACATAATTTTTCAAATTTAGGCCTCCTCATGGAACACAAAAGTAGGACAAAGATTTAATCTTCATAACCTCTGGTCCTCTTTCAAAATTTCATTCTGTTTAGTTCCGTCCATTGTTGTCCCGTTTAGGGCACACACTTTCTTTTTCTCTGGGACCATACGCCGCTTTTCGTGAAATATCTCAAAAGTGTCACATTGAAGGTTCCATGATAACCGCCGTATGAAAACATCTGCGGATGTTTCTAAATTCAAAATGTCGGCATTTTCATGTTTTTTGCCCGATTCGTGATTTGTTTTGAGAATAATGTGTAGTGTGTACATTAAAATAGATTTTTCAATTCGTATATTGCTTTCTCTGTCACTTTCTTTAATAGGCATACTTTAAGGTAACAAAAACAGTTTAAAATCGCAACAATTCAAATTAGAATCATCATTTTAATTGTAAACAAGATTGACAAGGGATTATGTAATAACCACAAAATAACATTCTTAGCTGTTGTGTCTTGTTTTGATTAAAGTTTCAATGGTGTCTTTCAATTCGTCAAAATTTATCATCCATTTTTTAAAATTGCAGTCATTAACAAACACTCAAAACAAGTACATGTACTATTGGTATCACACGCGCACCAATGTAATAATATCAAAATTAAGCGTGCTGTATTTGAAATAAAGCACATCATTACAATATTTAGAAAGAAACATGCTTACTGCAAACATGTACAATACAAATACTTTATCAATTCTATTAACATAAACAAATTATAAATGTTATACTATTTTAAAGTGGTACTATCAAAAATCTGGATCAGGTGTAATTCCTCGGAAGCCTTGAAAACAAAATTATGCATCCGCAATATGAAAATTGCTTACTCGGCTTTATTGTATCCGTTCATGAGAAATTATGAAAAAGTGCAACACCTCTCATGCCCCCTAGCACCGACTTGAAGCAATATTCAACCCAAGTCAACGGTTACTTTGAACTCGATTTAGCAAGTTTGGGACGCCTACACAATGCATAATGATTTTAGTTTATTGTTGATAAATTGCATCTACTGATTTAAAATTTTCGGGTGTTAGCTATCTATAATTGAGTATATTGTCAACATTTAGAACTTTACTAGTAGGTGTGAATTGACATCATTTCTAATGCTTTTAGCAGTTGTGACACCTTATCCAAATATAATGGATAAAAATTATTTCACATTCTGAAGAAAAACTTCTAAATAAAAAGAGAAACATATTAACTTCTCTGTCTGGTACATTGTAATATGTGATACATTTTTAATGACGTTTTTTAAACTACACTTTGAAACCCTTTTTATTTTATTTTTTAAATTTTACTCTCGTAATATTTATACTGCTTTTTCTAAAAGCTAATTTTATGTTTCAATATATTACACTTGATGTTTATACATTTTTCATGTTATATTCTTTATATTTTGATAATCTTTATTTACTTTTTATGTTTCAAACCCCAGATAACTGAACCAATTTTAATAAGAAATAGCATGCAGTTATAGTTTACTAGAACTTAAACCGAAGAGACTTTATTCTTATTCTCAATATTAATTTTCTTAAGTGATTCCTTAAACTTTTCCTGGTGGAGATTGGCTGAAGCCGGTGCTAGGGGGCGTGAGGGATGTTGCACATATTCATTATCCCTCATGTACAGACTCAATCAAACTAAGTCTGCAATTCTCTTCTAATTTTGTTGTGATTAATGCTTCCGAGGGATCACTTTGTTTCCAGATTTTTATGAACATATCTACAAAATATTAATCATGAGCGTTTTTTTCGTATTTTCCCATGATAGTAAAGCGTAATTTAAGACAACATGGCAGTTCAATTCTAATTGTCATGAAACTTTTGAAAATGTACTTAAAATTAAAATATTGTTGAAGAACAAAGAAAGTAATATACACATTGCAAACGGCACTAAAATTGTACAAAATATACCGCAAAAAGAGGACAGAAATTGCAAAATAGCCCTTACTATGTTAATAACGCAGTAGAAATATAGTGTTATATACTGCACAATCAAGCATTAATTAATTGCACGTTATACGTTAATTGTTGCTAAAACGTGGAAACCTTTTCCTTTTCTTAAAATCTCAGAACGTTTTTCTCAACTTTGATTTCTTGATATATTTTGGCAAACAGCTTCAAATCAACTGCTATAAACGAATTACATTTTATCGTTCTATACTTTGCTTTGTGCTTTTTTCTGTTTTTCATACTAGAATGAATTTACGTCCCTTGAACGTTTATTTGTCGTTCTTTACCTTTCTATGTGCCTTTTGGGGTTTTCTTTCTATGACTGAGTTACGTCTCTTTTATTTACTATGCGACTTTTCTAAAAAAAAATTTGTAACTATGAATCGTTCTTTACTTTACTATGTGTCTTTCCTGTTTTTCATACTATGTATGAATTACGTTACTAGAACGTTATCAAGTCGTTCTTTACTCTACTATGTGCCTTTGTTTTGGTTTTGGTACTATGAATCGTTCTTTACAATGTGCCTTTTCTGTTTTTTACTGTGTAGGATTAACTATCCTTGAACATTATCTTTTTGTTTTATACTTTACTATGGGTCTATTCTGTTTTTCTTCCTATGAATCGTTCTTAACTTTACTTTGTGCCTCTTCTGTTTATGTTACTATGAATAATTAACGTTCCTTGAACTTTCTCTTGTTGTTCTTTACTTTACTATGTGCCTTTCTGTTTTTGTAACTATTAATTGTTCTTTTCTTTACTATGTGCTTTTTCTATTTATGTTACTATGAATGAATAATGTTCATTGAACGTTCTCTTGTCGTTATTTACTTTACTATGGACCTTTTCTGTTGTTGTTTTTTTGATACTATGAATCGTTCTTTACTTTACTATGTGCCTTTTATGTTTTTGTTTACGGATCTTGATCGTTCTCTTGTTGTTCTTTTGATCTTTACTTTACTATGCGTCTTTTCTATTTTCCTTGCTATGAATGGATTACGATCCTTGATGGTTCTCTTGTAGATCTTTTCTTTACTATTTGCCTTTAGTTTTCTTTTTTTCTTACTATGTCGTTCTTCACTTTACTAAGGGCTTTTTCTGGGAGGTTATTTAGCAATTTGTGTTTATTTAATATTGATCTCATATTCCATTTCTTTTAATTTATTATATTGCAAGGATTGCAAATATGTCTCTTTAATCTTTTGTCTTTATAATCTCAACTTTTCAATTTTATTAAGGATTTATCAGCTCCTTTTGAATAGTTGAGTTAAAGTCTTGGGTATTTCACCATTAATGCCCTAATGCAAATTTTGTTTGGGTAACCCAATTGATCCGTCTACAATTCACTAAGAGTGGTTACCAAAACAGTAAAATTGAAGGCAAAAGATAACAAATGCACGATAATTGTACGCGGTCAATTAAAAAAAATTGTGCAGTGTACATGTTTATTGAAAGAGAATTTAATTACGCAATATTTTGAAAGTAAGTGATTCATTTTGATAAATTTCACATGCTTTGTTTTCATGTTAAATAAATGAAAATCCTCGCTGATAGTGTCTATATATTTGTATTGGTTTAATATTGACTAAAATGAATTATCTCAACAAAGTGAGATTTGATACTTTTTTAAATTGTATTTACGAGGAGATGTGATTATAGTCTGATGCATATAAATAAATCGTAAACACCTTAAAATGAGACAATTTGCAAGTAATTGTCTGCATAATTTAAAAAACATTAAATGTTGTTATTATGTGTTTGTAGGTAAATGCTTAAAATGTGATAAACAAGATCAACAAGGAAAGGCGGCGTTCAAAATGACATTAAATAAAATTGGAATTTCTCACTTGTTTTGTGTGTATGTGTGTACATACGTGCGTGTGTGCGTGCGTGTGTGTGTGTGTGGTTTTTTGATAACTGAGAAACGAATGAAACAAAGCGCAGGATCCCCGCGCTATATTGTGATGGTGGGTGTAAGTACCAGGGTTTGTCAGAACAATGTACATGTTTTCTCTTAAAAACAAATATTTACAAAATAAGCAACACAGAGATCAAGTATTTTTATTTTTTAATTTTTTTAGATACATGTACTGAAAGGAAGTCGTTTGTAAATAAAACACCAAAATCATTTCTGCAAACCAATACCCTTAATTAATTCTTGTTACTGTTAGAATAATAAACTGAAGATTTTGTTATAATAAATATATATTGTCTTTGATATAAAAATGTTGACTACAAGAGCTTTTCATATCCTAATTTAAATAACAGCATCTTTATTCAAACTTTGAACATAAAAGTTGGTATTTTCATTAGAGTCCAAGAGAGAAATAATCATAAATGATACACTTTGTACACCAGCGTCGCCTGTAGACCAGTTAATTGGCAGTCTAAAATAAAAACATGGAAATAAATTAGACAACATTTCATGGCAAACACTTAATACAATTTCAATTAATATGCATTGAGTTCCAAAGTATAAGATAAGTTTTAAAATTCTCCCAAGTGTAAACAAGTTTGAAAATGATGAACAATTGCAGATGTTTATTAATTTGGCAAATATCACAGAAACTTTAAAGTGGTCGGCGTTGCTTACCTAGAAACTGATGGGTATGGTTAAATAAGATTTAATAAATAAAAAAACGTTTAAGAGGGAATCAGAAGTCAGAGCTCCCTCATCCCCGAACTTCTCTCTACCACTAAAAAAAGAATTATTTACAAAGCATTTGCGAAAGGGACTGATACGCCTTATGTTAATACAAACTGCAATATTAGTATACAGTAAATCAGGCTAAAATAACTATTGTATACTTTTCACATAGGAGAGTTACTAACAGGTTCAGACTTGTTAAAAAAAAAGAACTGTACACATTGCCATTGGCCGAATAAAAGATAAACAAGATAATTAATTTAACAAGAAACATAAAGGATTTAATTACCGATTTCTGTCGATGCTCAATTTTGGCACTTGCCTGTCGGCGGCGTCTTTTTCCCGGACTGAGTGAACTCTGAAGCCAGTTGTACATGTCTGCAATGGCTGAGTACTGCTCGGTCTGACAGTGAAATCCAAGATTTAGATTACAACTTCGCTTCCTGTAAACATAATTGAATTTTTCATTGGCCCATACGTTCAATGAGCGAGTAATTATAATTGAGTTCAGAATGATATACAATGAGTTATTTCAAGACTTCATGAATATTTTCTAGATAAAAGTGATAACAAGACGGGCTTTCCTGAACAATTAGTCCATGTAATTATGTTTTTATTGACTAAAGAGTAATTTACGTCACTCAGAAGATGCCATGTCATTTTCTATACAAATTTATATATAGTATTAATTAAGACTGTGAAAATAATTGCGTCATCTGTGATTGATGTTTCTGCAAATTTTACACGACTTTAATTACATGGACATATGACCCGATTCAACATTTTAAAGAAATAGATAGATTAAACTAATTCAAACGGGGGGGGGGGCAATTTGTTTAATACTCCTTAAAGAAGAAAAAGCGACAAGAATGTGTGTACAAATAATCACATGAATTGCCCGCGGGAAAATCATTTCACTAGTAAACATCATTTTCTTTGTTTAAGCCGTCTTCATTTTGTTATAATAATTATTCCGATTCTTCCAATTGTCGTCTACCGTACATTTTGTGTTATATGTCAATGTATGTTTCCCTGTACATATAAACAACAATTGGTTGTACGAAGAAATTAATTCCTAATTAAACAATATTTCTGTTAATAAAAGTTCCCCCGTATTACCAGGATAGCAATTTCCGCGCTTAATCAAAGTATCTTTGTGTCATTTTAGTGTCACTTTATGGTACAGTGAAATGCAATCATACCTCATATTGGCTTTTAAATCGAAAAGAATAGATTCTCAGATTGAGATGACGTAAAAAATAGAGAAAATAATATACAGCAGACTACCGGTCCCCGGATGATTGCACGCCGAATGCAATTTTATTTTTGTTCCATAGCATTATAAGTACTTATTTACTTCGGCATAATCAGTATAAATTTGTAAGATTCTGTGGCCAGATGGTGGACACCAGGTTATAACAAAATCAGTTATTTAGTACAAGCACGGAGTAAGTCTAAGTAAACAACAACATAAAGATATTATAACGAAATAGGTAATTGGTAACAATTTTCTCAGAAGGAAAATTTTATGAAGATTTATGGACTCGCCATGTGTTACCTTTAGCCATGTTCACAACTTTAACAGCCGCTTTCTTTACATGTTTGTCCTGTTACTTTAACGGTGTTATACCAAATTCTTTTCATAGAATGTATTTACTTATAAATATTTTATTCAGAATAACAGTACATGACGTCAAAAATATTGTTAAAACTCCTACAACGAATTGTCTAAATTTCATTTTACTTAGGACAATTCCAATTTGTAAACATGCCTATATAACTAGGTAAAACATATTTTTGTCCAGAATTGTTCGATAGCAAGATTACTCTCTTTGGATTGCTGATTCCGAAATCTTCCAAAAGCTGTTGAAGTATTATGAAAATGATTTAAACATCTTAACATTTTCAGTTTTAAAAACTCTTTAAAATGTCTTTACGCAAGTGCGTTTTTACCGCATACATTTGTATGCTTAGGGAAATGATTTGTTGCCACTTTCATTTTAATTCACGTTTACTAAGAATTCATTTAAGAAAATTATCTGCCGCAGTTCATTTGATTAAGTAAACTGATCTTGAATGACTCCCTCAAGAAAGAAATGCTTCATGAAATTAGAGACAATACTGAAATCATGATCATGGCAACATGACATATTCATGTATTGTAGAAGGATCAAATATCCTATTTACAGTGTATAGATTTATTGATATATTCGTAAAGAATACATTATTCTGGTTTGTTCTTTCTTAACATATACAAGTTCAAATGTTTGGATTTTTTCTAAGAAATTAACCCCCCCCCAATATTTGGATGTAACTCTATGCGAAAATAAAATTGAAACATTTCCTATTTTGAAAGAATGAATGTATGCAGTTGTTTTTTTTTCAATAAAGTATAACATTTGACATCAGTAGCAATGGACAAGAAATAGCAGTATCTTCTGTTTGAATGTTCATGCGTTTTTATTTTACGCGTTTCAGCATATGCACCTGATATTTAGGAGATGACAAGATAAATAATTAATATGATATTTAAAAAATGATTTTTTTAAAAAAAAGTAAAAAAGAAAAGGAATTTAAGATCAAACTGTAACTATATGGATAATGGTCACGAACAATTTTTTTAGGAAATTTATAACAATGGAAAAGAAGGTGATTTCAATTGACAAACTTTTGAAATTTGAAATATGTGTCAGTTTATTTCAATAGACAAACTTTCGCAATTTTAAATCGATATCACTCCTTGCAAATAATGATAATTTTAGGGACAATTTTATTATTTATTACAATTTTTTAAGTATTATTTTAAAAACGATATTAATTTGTTATCTTAAGGACAATGTAAATTTAACATTTTAAGGAAAATTTAAATTCATTACTTTTAGGACGTAAGTTCATTAAAATACTCGTTTGATAGTTATAAGACTTGTTTTGATAACCAGAAACTTGGATTGGAAAATATATTACTAAGAGAGTGAATAGATTAAGTTTAAATAAGATCAACACCGAAACCTTGACACGTGTGTTTCTGGTTTATGTAATAGTTAGACACTTATAAGAGAAATATTAAAAGATTTAAACTGTTGAACATCGATTATAGCTGTTTTTTTCTTATTGGGGCCTTACTAATTTAGTCTTTGTGCATACGCCCGTCTATTCAGTTAGACCTCACGTGTAAATAAATTGTTAAATAAACTCTATTGAAGACATTTTAAAATTTAGGCCTCACCATTGGACACAAAGTTTGGACAAAGGCTTAATCATATGAATGTTTTTTTTCACGTCTAAAGTACAAAGTACACCATAATAATTAGGTTTTGGGGTCAAATTATTGAAAATCGAAAACGTTTACTTTTTATGAATCAAAACATTTTCTCTAATTTAAGAACAAACAACCCATTGTCTATTCAAGTAAAATATTCCAAGTTGTGAACGTTACGGTAACATATTTAAATGATGCGGCCTGCAAGTGATAGCATTCCTAGTATTGACATTTTTTAAGAAATTGTGCATGATTCGTGATTTGTTTTGATGTAAATGTAGTGTGTACAGTAAAATAGATTTTCAAATGGTGTATTGCTTTCTCTGTCACTTTGTTTAACAGGCATACTTTGTATATGTACTGGTTCACATTGTAACAAAATTTGATTTTAAAATCGCAAAAATTCAAATTAAAATCATCATGTTATTTGTAAATAATATTGACAAGGGATTATGTAATAAACAAAAAATAACATTTTCAGCTGATGTCTACCATTTTTATATCTTATTTGATAAAAAAATGACTTTGATTTAAGTTTCAATGGTATCTTTCAATTCATCAAAATTTATCATCCACTTTTTTTTAAATTGCAGTCATTAACGAACACTCAAAACAAGTAATATTGGTATCACACGTGCACCGATGTAATAATATCAAAATGGAGCGTGCTGTATTTGAAAAAAAGCACATCATTACAATATTTAGAAAGAAACATGCTTACAGCAAACATGTACAATAAAAATATTTTATCAATTCTATTAACATAAACAGATTATAAATGTTATACTATTTTATAGTCGTACTATCAAAATCTGGATCAGGTGTAATTCCTCGGAATTATGTATCCGCAATATGAAAATTGCAGACATCGGCTTTATTGTGTCCGTTCATGAGAAATTATGAAAGAGTGCAACACCTCTCATGCCCTCCACCACCGACTTGAAGCAATATTCAACCCAAGTCAACGGTTTCCTTGAACTCAATTTGGCATGTTTGGGAAACCTACACAATAAATAATGATTTTAGTTTATTGTTGATAAATTGCATCTACTGATTTAAAATTTTCGATTGTTAGCTATCTATAATTGAGTATATTTTAACATCTAGAACTTTACTACTGAGTATGAAATTGATAATCATTTCTAATGCTTTTAGCAGTTGTGACACATTAGCTAAATATTACTGTCAAAACTTGTTTAACATTCTGAAGAAAAACTTCTAAATAAAAAGAGCAACTTATTAGCCTCTCTGTCAGGTACATTGTTATTGTCTTTTTCTTAAACTACACTTTGAAATCCTTTTTATTTTATATTTTAAAATATTTTATAAAACGTGACAACCTTTTACTTTCCTTAGAATCTCAGAACGTTTTTGATTTTTTGATACATTTTGGCATACAGCTTCAAATCAACTACTATGAACGAATTACATTCCTTTAACGTTCTCTTGTTGCTCTATACTTTGCTATATGCTTTTTCTGTTTTTCTTTTCTTCCTATGAATGAATTTCTTTACTTTATTTTTGTCGTTCTTAAAACCTCTACTCTTCGTTCTTTGTTATGTGCCTTTTCGGTTTTTTTTATATTATGACTGGATAACGTTCCTTCTATTAACTATGCGACTTTTCTACTTTTTTGTAACTATGAATTGTTCTTTACTATGTGTCTCTCCTGTTTTTCTAACTATGTATAAATTACGTTACTAGAACGTTATCTTGTCGTTCTTTACTCTACTATGTGCTTTTTTGTTTTGGTACTATGAAACGTTCTTTACAATGTGCCTTTTATGTTTTTTTACTGTGTAGGATTTACTATCCTTGAACATTATCTTTTTGTTCTGTACTTTACTATGGGCCTATTCTGTTTTTCTTACAATGAATCGTTCTTTACTTTACTTTGTGCCTTTTCTGTTTTTGTTACTATGAACGAATAACATTCCTTGAACGTTCTCTTGTCGTTCTATACTTTACTATGGGTCTTTTTGTTTTTGTAGATATTAATCGTTATTTCTTTAGTATGTGCCTTTTCTATTTTGTTACTTCGAATGGTCTGCGGTTCTTGAACGTTCTCTTGTCGTTCTTTTGGTCTTTACTTTACTATGCGTCTTTTCTATGTTCCTTGCTATGAATAGATTACGATCCTTGATGGTTCTCTTGTAGATCTTTTCTTTACTATTTGCCTTTTCT